TTAGATCAAATTCCACTCTGCTTTATATTTCCGTACAAAGATTTTTAAAAATTACACTCAAGTAAGTGAAGTTCGTAAAATTCTCATTGACTTCAATGGGAGCTGAGTTAGTCTAGCACGAAAATCCTCTGTGCTTGTGGCAGAAGTGGAACTTTTATCTTTTGGATTAGATCCTAAAAACCAAGGTTTCATAGGATGGGAGAATTACCTGGCACTTCTCATAAGAATGGAGGTTCACCTCAATATCTATGGCCAAATTTCCTACCCACAAACATGACCACCCAGAATGCTGCATGCCAGCTGGCTGCACCGCTCCGCTCCGCTTCAGAAGTGGTGGTACTTTGTAACTGTAAAGGGAGTGAAGATCTGTTTTGGAGGGGATGGAGCGACATACATGTACAATGATGGTGAAATAAGCAGGCTGCCTCTGCCAATAGCTCAAAGACCAAGTATCTGCAGAACCAAAAGATAATAAGGGACCTAATTCACCACTGGTATAAGCCAGTGCAAGTCCTTGGACTTGGTGATGTTGCAGCGGAGAAAATGGTATTGTGCATGCTGCACAATGTGTCATATAAACTCCAACAGGAGAGCACACCCTAAACTTGAGTCAAAACAATGGTCTCTGGAATGACACAATCCTAAATCTATAGGCCAGCTCCTGCCGGTGTGAGCTGGCATAGCGCCAAAGTCGTGCAGAATGACACCACTCGAGGATCTAGCCCTTCCTTGTTACTTTCTGGCCACATTGCAATAACTGTAATTGTGAAGTGTTCAGCCCTTAAGCAAAACGCCCCCTGAAATCACCAATGGATGACTAGCTTCTGGCCTGCCAATGCTGTGCCCATCCGTGAGGCAGGCCAAGCATGATGGACAATGGTCTCCATGTCCTGACAGATGCTTTGCCTCTTTGGGACGCTGAGGAGCAGTAAAAAGTCGTGCTGGATGGCGGGGGCCTGTTGAATGTTTCTCACGTGCGTTAACAGGCATGTAGACACAGCAAGCGCAGTGCAGCGAGTGTGCCTGGGGAATCCCTCTGGAGCCAGCTGAGGCCTGGCAGGTGTGACCACACCGTTCTGGTGAACCTCAGGCAGCAGGCCAGGGGTCCGGATGTGGCTTGTACCTCAGCCTTGGCAGGAGTCCTCAGGTCTTGCTGAAGAAAGGCCCCTTGTTAAAATCCTTCCTGAGAGGGGAAGGCGCCCTTCTGGGAACTCCTGAGGCAGTTAAAAGTGTAATATGTGGCGACAACCACCCCTTTATAATACACCCCCCATCTGGCCAGTCCTTTGCAGGAAGCCCTCTCTGAAGTGATTTTCCAAGGCAGCAGCTGCTAAGCAGACCCAAGTCTAACCAGATTAGTCTCAGAGACCTGAAAGTGGCCTCTGGCAGCAGGGAATGCCTGTTGCATCCTCTGCTCTGCATTAGGAAGAGGGTTGTTTGGGGGCAGGGAGGGTCTTGCTCCAGCTGGGAGGCTTCCCAGACAAGGACTGAAATGGATGGGAAAGTCTCTAAACCAACAAACAAGAAAGGAAGGAGGATCCAGTTATATTTGCATTGAGTTTGCTGTAGGCAGCGGAGAGGAGGGGGGTTCTAGCTGCCTGTGACTCTCAACCAGCCCCTTTCACCTACACAGGAACGAGCGTTCCTGAGGCACTTACAAAGGGATCGAGTGGGCATTTCAGTGTGAGCAGCAGGCACAGACTGGCACTCCCTGCTCAGTCTAGCAGTGCCACTGCCTGGATTCCCTGGGTAGCAGTTCCATCTCACGCTCCTGCAGCCACATAGATGTCTCATTGCAACTTGTCCCCTGTTCCCCTTCTCCCCAGCAGCCACCGAACCATCCCGGTCAGCACTAGGTCAAATCCCCCCAGCAGCCATTGTGGGGTCCTTTTCCTCACAGCCTGGCTCTTGGGGCCGTAGACTGTCCTAGGTGCACATTGTCATTGTCACCTTGTCCAGTCAGTGGTGGTGAGCTGCTGGCCAGTGGAACAGTCCTTCCAAATGGACAGCAGAGGTCAGTGCCTGCCCACCAGCCCAGACAAATAACCAGGGATGCTGCAGAACAGCACAAACGCTCCGGCTCCCTTCAGCCCCTGACCAGAGTCTGCTATAGCATAGGCAAGAATTAAGAGCCATTAACTTGTTGCCTCTACGTTGCCCACCAAGCATTGTGGTATCTCCTCATTGCCCAGATTAAAGAGTTTATCACCCTAATTAAACTGTCTGCTATTCTGCAAATAGGGCCTGCTCTGAACCCATAAAGTCAATGGAAAGATTCTCACTGATTGCAATGGGCTTTGGACAAGACCCATAGTCTAGTTCAGTGAAACTCTTTAAGATGGGAACCTTTCCAGGTGAGCAGTACTGGAACCTTCAGTTGATGCAGGAGGATAGTCTGGGATCTGTCTAAAGCCAATCTGTGTCTCCCTGCAGAATCGTGTCCTTCCCGAGAAATCTCATTAATGAGAGTGTCACACGGAAGGGGTTGGCAGCTGCTTTCCGAATGTGGAGCAACGTTTCACCATTCAACTTCAAGGAGGTGCCAGCCAACTCAGCTAGTGACCTGAAAATAGGTAGGTCTGCAAAGACCCTGGGGTCCTGTGCTAAAGAGAGAGTGGGCTCTGGCCCTGAGGGATGTTCCGTCTCCAAAACGGGGTCTGTGTTCCTTGGAGCATTTGATTGCAGAACTTTTTGGGTGAGACCCAGGAGTCCTGCAACTGCAATGCTCCTCCCCACAGCACAGGCTGGGCCACACCCTCTGGCTGGTATTAGTGATGCAGCCCCAGACCTTTGATGCATCTGCCTTCCCTCTGAGAGGAATCTTATTCAGCAAGGGAAGGGGCTATAGTATTTATCACTACCCTAGTGCCTGCTATCCAGGGAGCTCAGAGAGTGAAATCTCCCCACACCCCTGTGAAGCAGGATTATCCCCATTTCACAGATGGGGAAACTGAAGTGCAGAGAAGTAAAGTTACTCACCCAAAGTCACAGTGAGTCTGTGGTGGAGCCCAGAATAGAGCATAGTTCTCCTGGATCCTAGTCTGGTGCGCTAACTGGTAGCCATGATGCCTCCTGGTATTTTATTTATAGAGAAATCCTAGTGGCACTCCGCATGCCCCAGAAGGAAGAACACCTCAGCAGTACTCTCCCTACAGTTCAGCCTGCTTCCTCTTCCTCATGCAGAGCAAGGTCTACCTGTATATTTATATCACACTTGTCCCTATAGTATCTGAGCTGCTCTTAGAGGTACAAACACACTAACTGAAGAGGAAGTTCAATACAGTTTCTCCTTGTCTGGAGCAGTGGTGCCTAGTGGATAGAACACCGGACTGGGACTCAGGTGACCTGGACTCTATTCTCAGCTTTCCCATTGGCCTGCTGGTGCCCTGGGGCAAGTCACTTCACTTCTCTGTGCCTCAGATTTGCCATCTGTAAAATGGGGATAATGATGCCTCCTTTGTAAAGTGCCTTGAGATCTCCAGATGAAAAGTAATGTACTTGAGCTAACTATTAATATTCTTATTCTCTCTCCCCACCCTGCTAGCCCTCCATGTACTCCAGACCATTCTTTAAATCCTATTAGTTATTCCTTAATTCTGGTTCCTTTCCCACCATCCATGGTACAATCCCTTGCAAGACCAGGCCTCAGCTTCAAGCTCTAGGATTCGGCTGCACATTGGTGGGTTGCTTCAGCTCCCCCTTCCTTATTTATCTCCACAGAACTTACTAAGCCATTTCTCTTTGTCCCTTCTCAGCTGCTATGCAGGTTCACTATGCAGGGTGCCTTTCTGAAGCTCTCAGCCCTGGGCAATCATAATGCAGTTTTTAATCCTGGATCATCTGGTTAGTTTCACATTCTAGATGTAAATTCCTTTCAGGATTTATGGCCTACGAAAGACATGATCATTCTTTCCTGTGCAGACTGCGGTGTCTTCAGGATTTCCAGCAAAGTTTCCATTGTTTCGCAACATATTTCTTGCTCTGCTATTGCGTGACACCACCTGAAAGCAGATGATCCACCTCCCTGGGGACCTTGCCTAACAGAGAGTGAAATGCTGCCACGTAGGAGCTCCACAGAGCCCCATTCCAGCAGGCACCTATTAAGGACTGCATGACCTGTAACTAGAGCGCAGGCCTGAGAGCCAGGTTGTGCATGGTGGCCTGAAGCAAGTCACTTAACCTCTCTCTGTCTCTGTTAAATCCAGATTTAAAAGGGGATAACACTTATCTGCCTCCCAGAGGCATTTGTAAAGAGCTTTGGATGGACATTTGTTGCAGGCAAGTGGTTATAACTAAATAAACTGTTATAAGAAGTAGCAGCTCAGCAAAGGAGTTTTTATGGCCTGGGCACTACTGTAAAGACTTGGTCCCAGCCTGAGGATCTTTGTATCACTTTAGACGATAATACCTCGCCCTTCTATTGCGTATTTCATCTATAGATCTCAAAGCACTTCACAAAGTTCCCCAGTTTACAGATGGGGAAACTGAGGTGCAGCGAGGTGAGTTGATATTCCACCCAGCGAGCCGGGAGTAGAACCCAGATTTCCTGAGTCTCAGTCCACTAGGCCACCCTTATAGCAGAGTCTCCACTACCTGTCAGTAGTAGCAGAATTGATAGTCTCCTCCCAGACCTCTAGGAGGTAGCTAGCGAGCCCATTGTAGACATGGGAGGGCTCACTCCAGGGAAAACATGGAGAGATTCTGACACTGCCTCAATCGCTAAACTAATTCCCCTGTGGGAAACCTGGATTAAGCAGGGGCTACAGGCTTGTATGCCGGACTGATGATGGGTGTAGCCCTGTACAAGATACACAGTCAACAGCATTTAAAGTTGCAAAGAAAAACCAAAATAATCCAAGCTGCATTAGATGACTCAGAGTCAAAGTTCACATAGCTCCTCGTAGGGGTGCAGAAAGCAGCGTTGACCAGAATGGGTGAGTGGGTAGAGATCTGGAGCACTGGGATAGGGGAAATGGTTTCATGTGATGGGAGGTGGGCATGTTGGGCTGTGGTTACTAGTGTCCACACCAGGGATCGGCAACCTTTGGTACGCAGCTCGCCAGGGTAAGCCCCCTGGTGGGCCAGGCTGGTTTGTTTACTTGCTGCGTTCCCAGGTTCGGCTGATCGCGGCTCCCACTGGCCGCGGTTCGCTGCTCCAGGCCAATAGGGGCTGTGGGAAACAACGCGGGCTGAGGGATGGCCTGGGATAGCAAACTGTGGCCAGTGGGAGCTGTGCTCAGCCAAACTTGCAGATGCAGCAAGTAAACAAACCGGCCCACCCAGGGGGCTTACCCTGGCGGGCCACGTGCCAAAGGTTGCCGATCCCTGGTCCACACAATGATCAATCAAACGCTAAGCCTAAGCAATCGGTCACTGCCTCCTCTTTAATGCCCTGATTAAAAACGTAGGAGTTTCCACTTGGTGTTGAAACAGGAGCTCCTCTCTGAAGGGAAGCTTAACTTGTGTCCTTTGGAGACTGCCCTAAATCCAATGTCACCCCAAACACTTTAGAGCTGGACCTGGTTTATATTATTCAACCCTCATTTCTAACTATCTCTTTAAGTTTGATTTTCCTTCTGTGCATCTGTGGGATGGAAAACTTACATGTTTTAGAATATGTCCCTGAGACACGCTCCTCTTTGTTCAGTCCATTCATGTATGAAGTATACTGAGTAGTCTGACTTTATGTATTCTCTTTCACAGGCTTCTATTCCATAAACCATACTGATTGCCTGGAGTCACTCATCCATCATTGTTTTGATGGGACGACAGGGGAGCTTGCCCATGCTTTCTTCCCGAAAAATGGGGAAATCCATTTTGATGACCATGAATATTGGATATTGGGAAACACTCGGTTCAGCTGGAAAAAGGGTACGTAACTTGTCTCTGAGGAGATCTACTTCTCCCAAGAGATTGATTGCATTTTTCCACAATGATGTTGCTCACTCTTATTAAAATCCTGAAAGGTCCACAAGACACAAATGCCAATGGAGTAGGTTGTTAGGGAGGGACTCATGTTGCAAAGTCTGGTTCCAGACTGAAATTTCCCCAGCACTCAGAGGGATTTTGAACCTCTTTAGTTGTTATGGAGGCACAGTATCAGTGTCATTAATAAGTCTGCAGGAGTCATTATTTTCTAGATAGATATTACCTTTGATGGACCAACCTGGCACATGGTACTGACTTATAAAAGGTGTTTCACCCCATCAGTTAAAGCCTTTAGATGTTTCCAACCATGATTCATTTTCCTCAGTGTGTGTGGAAGGGGGTGATGAACCTGCGGCTAGATATCCATTGTCCCTGCAGAAGGAGAGGCTTTACTGACTTCATGAGGCTGTGATGGAATGGAATTTAGAACTTTGTTTATCAGGGGTTTACTGGTGTAGGGCCAATATCCACCCACCTTCCTCACGCAAATTCTCCAGCAGCTTGAGTAGAACTCCTTGTGTAAGGTGAGCAAGATTTGGCCTTAGGTTGGGGTTCTCAAACTGGGGTGGGGACCCCTTAGGGGCTCACGAGGCTATTACATGGGGGGTTGTGAGCTGTCAGCCTCCACCCCAAACCCTGCTTTGCCTCCAGCATTTATAATGGTGTTAAATACATTAAAAAGTGTTTTTAATTGATAAGGGGAGGTCGCACTCAGAGCTTGCTATGTGACATGGGTCACCAGTACAAAAGTTTGAGAACCCCTGCCTTAAGTGCAGATTTTCTCATTGTTTAACCAATCCTGGGAGAGACAAAAGGAAAGTTTGGTGTGATTCTTTGTGGCTGTTGGTACTGCTGTCGTGTGACTGAACTCCAGCCATGGAATATTCCCGTTTGGTGGCAGTTCCAGCACTTCCTGAGTAATTCAGTGGGCCCCAACCACATTGTAAATAATCAGGACTGGCTTCCATCCAAGCAGCTGTGCTATCTCTGGGGAGGGCCACGTTATGTTTGATTTCTTGGCAGGGTTGTTCACATTTTTGTTGTCCTCTGTAACCAGCTTTCCTGCGTACATGGTCATTTTCAAGCTTGTGGCTACCTAAAGATATCTTGCTTACTTTTTTTTTAAAACAATGTCTAAAGTAACATTAAATTACAAGCAGATGGTCCATGACCAATCAGCAAACTCATTTCATAAGGCAAATGTTATATTTCTTTGAAGTTAAGTTTTTCGTTTGTTACCAAAAAAAGCAGGGTAGGAGAAGCTTTAGAAATGTATCCTGTGTGTTCCTGTTTATCATTTTAGCAGAAGGTCTTTTATCTCTTTTGTGCATGCGTGAGTACACGTGTTCTGTAAGTGTATGTAGTATTACATATATTATGTGTATAACGTGCATGTGTATGTATGCTAAGATGTTTTTAAGTGACTGGTGATTTTGGGTTTCCAACTTGAGACATCTTAAAAGGACTTGACTTTTCAGAGAGCAATGCTCTATTCTTCCTGAAAATCAGGCTCATTATAGTACTTCAAATTAGGCACCCAAAATCTCTAGTTGCTTTAAAAAATATTGAAATTTTATTTACACACACACACACACACACACACACACACACACACACACACACACACACACACACACTTTTACT